CGGCGCGGCGCCCTTTCGCGGCGCCGCCATTCCGCGAGCAGGTCGCTGCGCAGGCCTCGCTCCGCTGCGGCGCGTGGTGCCCGGCCCGCCGCCCCGCCATGCAGATCTTCGTGAAGACCCTCACGGGGAAGACCATCACCCTCGAGGTGAGGCGCGGGGGAGGGCCGCAGCCGCCGCGGGCAGCGGGGGCGGTTTCTCGGGCTTCTCTCGCTCTTCGCGGCTGCTGAATGGGCCGATGCCCAGTTAAATGGTTGCGCTGAGGGTTTTTTAATACGTATATACGGAGCGGACATCGATTTGCATTGAACAAAGGAGCTAGGGTACAGTGCGCAGGTTGCACTCGATTTCTTGTACTACATCGGCATTTACACTAACCACATTTTTTTTCCTAATGTTTTTTTTTCCTACTCATTATCATTTTGTTTTATATTAGGTCGAGTCTTCTGATACAATAGAAAATGTGAAGGCCAAGATCCAGGATAAGGAAGGTTAGTTCACAACGCCTTTTCTTCCTCCTCCGTTTGAGCAGAGTATTTTTTATGCAGATAGCATGGCCCGGTCCGTTTCCTTTCTTTAATCTTGATTTGTATCGTTATTAGGAATTCCTCCTGATCAGCAGCGACTCATTTTTGCTGGTAAGCAGTTAGAGGATGGGCGCACACTGTCCGACTACAATATTCAAAAAGTGAGTAGAAAAAGGTCAATAAAATACTCTAAGTCATATAAGCCAGCTACTGCCATAGAGCAGACTGATATTTGCTGTTAAGCCCAAGACATACTGCAGCTAAAATGAACTATGTTATTTAGGCTGAGGTAACCCTTCTGACTAAGGAAATGCTGATGCTAAGACTAGACCAGTGAGTTGCTGCAGTTGAGGGTGCAGTCTCAGGCCACAAGTTACCATCTTTAATAGCTTTTTCTTCCATTGCTTCCCTTCTGTCAGCTCCTGGCACTGCCCACTCTGTCGAGCTAGTTTAGGGAGCCAGTGTGAAAGCTACTGCTCACAGATTGAGTGCAAAGGGGGGGCCATGCAGGCAGCAGTGCTGGTACAAAAGGAGGAGGAAGTGATTGTTTTTTGGCGATAATTAACCGATCAATTGAGTTGCATTAATAGCTACATCCTATATGTACTAGAATCAAAAAACATAGGTGCAAGACCCTTCATTATATTTGAACTATTAAGGAGTTTGGGGTGCCGCAGCACACAGAGTTTTGTTTCATTTGCAAACTTAGTAGCAAAAAGGTCTTTTCAAGCTCCAGCTATCTAGAAAAGCTCTAAAATACTTAAGTACTTTCTGTAAGTAAAAGAACAAGCTTGCATAAATGCTAGTCTGGCCTTGAGAAACGATTCTGAATCTATATGATGCGTTTTACAAATAGGAATCAACCCTTCACCTCGTGCTGAGGCTGCGCGGTGGTGCTAAGAAGAGGAAGAAGAAGTCTTACACGACCCCCAAGAAGAACAAGCATAAGAGAAAGAAGGTTAAGCTTGCTGTGCTCAAGTATTACAAGGTAAGCAGAACTATTTCTAGGGGAAATTTGTTAAAAGCTCAGTAGATCTCAGTAAAGCTGGGAGATTTAACAGATCTTGTGAAGGGACAAAACGATTACAAAATTTGAGGGTGGTATTCTGCACTTCTAACATGACTTCATGGAGCCTGGCACAGTTGTTTCTATTTGTGCCTCCAAACTTTGCTTTGGGAATTGGGTGATGTAATAACTACCTCTAAAAACATTTTGTCAAAGAAAATCCTGAGAAATCATGGGCGCCGTAAGTGGCGATCGTACGTGAGACCTTCCTTCTCTGCCCCGTGCAGGTGGACGAGAACGGCAAGATCAGCCGTCTGCGCCGCGAGTGCCCCTCTGAGGAGTGCGGAGCCGGGGTCTTCATGGCCAGCCACTTCGACAGGCACTACTGTGGCAAGTGCTGCCTGACGTACTGCTTCAACAAGCCAGAAGACAAGTAATGTACCTGACAATAAAAATCTGAAATTCTTTATGGTTTAAGGACTTGTTTCTCCTTCCACCATATTTCCTTTTCATTGATAAACAAGAGGGATCTACATAATGTTGAACATTGATCAGCAACTAGGGTTTTCTGGGTGTTGATTCTAAAATTGAAGCAAGAACTTTTTTCTAAAGAGCTGCTTTAGGTAAGAGACTTCATTTTTCTTACAATGCAGCAGTACATTAAAAAGGCGGAGTATTCAACTGAACAGACGTTTCTGCCAAAGAATTTTCCTCTTGAGTTTGCTAGTTTAATGCTAGCTGTCAGTGAAGGCCTAGTTCTAGTCCTCTTATTCTAGGCTGTTTATTAAGACACTATTTTGTCAAATGAGATTTGCTGATGTTTTTAACACAAACTTAAGATTCTTGGGCTATAGCGCCTGTTATGTTGAATATATTCATCAAAGTTAGAAAACTTCAGCTCTTCAGTAGCAGAATACTTGAGGTTTTTGCTCTAGACTTTTTCAGAGTGGGTTTCCTTTCTGAAGGAATGTGGCCAAGGTACCAAAAGGCACCAGCAAAGGTGGGCAGGGCTCTAGCTGTCTACAGGTGAGACTCACCTAAGAGGAAACACCACACACATAGCAGAATCAATCTCCCTAAGCTTATTTTCAAAAATGTTCTCTCCCTTTTTATTCAAACATGAAAGTTTCTGTAACAGTAGTGTAAGCTGAAGCCTGACACTGTCCTTTTTACAGCATCAACAAAAATATGATTGTTGCCTATGCAAACTCATGCCTTTCTAAGGAGGTAGTAGGGGTTAACAATCACAGAGCAAACAACCGTGTCAGTTAACACCATTAAAAGGGGCCTGCTGCATGAGCGAAGTAGATTAGAACTACAGTTTTAAATAAGAAATAAGGAGCTGAAGAAGTCAGGGCTGGACTTAAGACTACACCTGATTGCATGCTAAAGAAAAGGGTAGTAGGAGACCTGCCAGCAAAATGCAGAGAATGCACAGAGACATTTCCTTCTTTACTGAAGGTAGGGGTACAGCAACATTACAGGGATGCAGCTGAGCTCTAGTAGTACCACTGCATTTAAATAATCACCAGAAAGATATTTACAATTTGACTGTTCAATGCATTTGGAGTACTCACAATTAACACTTCTGCTTTATCCTATACTCCAAGTGCCCATTGGTCAACAAGATTTAGAAGAATACTATATAAATATCTGGTCTACAGCTTCAGAGGAGCTGCCTTGCTTTATAAATTCACTTAACATGAAGAGTTCCTAGGCCATTGGTCCAGCCAGGAACAATGCATGTCCTTTAGTGTATCCAAATGTATTTTAAAATCCTGGATCCCAGGAAGTTGTCTGTTCAACTTCTTTTTCTTCGTAACAAACAATTTCATCTCCAACACTGAATTCTATATCCTTGTCCAAACTTAGGCCGCAGTCCATTCCACTTTTTACTATCTGGATATCAGCTTTATGGTGCTTCAATGATGATAAGGATCCTACAAAGAGAAATAAGTTGAAGTAGAAAAAGAGACCTCTCTGACACATCAGCAGATAGGTGTTTTGTAACAGCTGTAGTTACCTTTCCAAATAACATCTCCTTTACGGATTAACTTAAATTTCATCTTTTTGTCTAGCAGCCCCTTGTGTACTCTGCACCCAGCTACTGGAACTTTACTTTTTCCTACTGTTACAGAGAAGGTGTCTAGTACAGAAGCTTCCCCTAAAGAAAAAAAAAAAGATGTATGAAGTACAAGCTCTTATTAATTAGAACCAAGCTACACTCCTCCACTTATCAAGCTCCTTAAGAAAATTAAAAAGCAGATACAGAAGAATACAAAGTATTCAACATAGTAGGAATGCCTTAATTGAAGAATAAACTTAAGGCTGTACTGTGAGGGAAAAACCACTCACTGAAAACTCACCTATTGTATTTTCCACCACAGATGGGAGTAATCTGCTATTTAGCTCTTCTTTTACATCTTCAATAAGTTGGTAGATGATATTGTGAATTTTAATTTTTATTCCCTTCTTAGCAGCCAGCTTTTTAAGAGTTTCATTGGCTTTCACACCAAATCCATATACAACACCTGAAAAATAAAGCAGTCAGCAGCTGATGACTACAGAGTGATCTCTGTTTTCCAAAGAGTATGTGAAATTTTGCTGCCACTATTTTGTAATATTAAACTTGCAGCACAGCCTAAAATCAGCAGTCACCAATACAAGAAACACTATTTTACACGTGCTTCCGTTTCAAAGGGGGAACATTTGTGTGTCTCTTGCTTGCTGCATTTACCACATCCTGGTTCTAACACCCTTCCACATTCACCACTGCTTCTAACCTTGAACCAAAGCAGTTAGGCTCAAAGGAAAAGCTCTCATAAGAAATTCTGCCATAACAGAACTGAAGATATCAAAGTGAAAATTAAATCTGAGCCATAGCTCATCAGAGCATCTGGCACTACGTATGATAAGGAAAAGGTCTCCTCACCTTTGGGCTGAAAGAGCAGTTTGATTCTCTAGCCTAAGCCTGAACTAAATCATCCTCACCACCTATCGATCCATTTGGGTCCAAAGACAAGGAATCTACAACCTTACAGCCTCTTGCACGTGGTAAATACAGGGTAGGAAAGGGTACTAAACCAACACAACCCTTTCCATCGACTGTTCTGAGCAAAAGGAAATTCATTTATTCTGGTTCACCACTTTTCCATCTATTTTGCTCTGCTAGAGCAGAATAAAGCAACCCGCCTGAGGAGTTTTCCAGCCTTACTATCCTTACTTTTATGCAAGTCAAATTCTTTCCTGTCCATTAGCTGTCCACCCTTCCCTACCTGCACTGGTCTCCATGTTAAAGAAGACATTTTTACTTTTCATGGAAGTTTACCTTAAAGATAATGCTAGTTATTACAAAGAAAGCAAAAACAGAACAAATAAGTACCCTTTCATTAGAGATAAAATTCTGTACCACTGTAAATTGATATTTAAACATGCACTCACCATTAAAAGTTTCAGCAAGACTTACATCATTTTCACTGATATCTCCCATTCCAAAATGAATGATGTCCAGTTTACACTCATGGTCAGCATCATAGCTGTCCAGAATGTTTAGAATAGCCTCAACAGATCCATCTACATCACCTGTATATATAAGCAGCATTGACTTTGTATCATTAATTACACAATATAAAAATTAGGTGAAATTAATACTAAAGGAGAATAAAGATATAAAATGCCAGGCTATATAGTATAATCATAATCTTATATCTTGCATCCTCACAATATTTTCAACAACACGCTAATATAAACATATACCTTTTAATATAAATATATACCTTTATATATATATACATATATATATACACACACACACACACACCTTTTTAAATATACATTAAGGTGCTCATCCTAAAAAGCAAAAGCAAATAAAAAGAGCCTAGGCTCTCTATCTGCTGTGTTCAGGTCAAGTTTGCGTAGTTGCCAGCTACTATTATTCACTATGTGTATAATGGAGACTGTGAGGCAAAACCAAGACAACCATGCCCTAAACTGAGGAAGAGATTCAACTAATTTGCCTTATATTGCACTCTGCCAAGTTCCGGCCTGTAGCCATGAAAGATAAAAGCAAAGCTGGTCCCTGATTACCTACACTCAGCCTCAGGGACTGAGGCAGGGCAGGGCAGGTACGAGCCATTTTCTGCTGTTCAAGAAAATGTGGTCTTAGGACCTGTGCTGAAACAGAGAAACCTGGGCTGGCAGTAGCAGGTGGAGACCAACAGTTGTTTTAAGATTTTAAATTCAGCTTGATAAGGTTTAGTTGCAATTGCAATTAAATCAAGCCAAGAAAAGCATCTTAAAATTCCAATTATTATTTGAAGTTCGAACTACACAGCATCTACTACCTAAAACTCCTGCCCTTCTTTGACTTCCCAACCTCCTATGTTCACACACATTGCACATGTTCATACCAGATCTCTATTTTGCCAAACTGTGGCCAAACCCAATGCCCCCACGCTCCAGGTCTGCCTATCCCCTTTGCATCCCCCACACTTGATTGTGCCTATCATGCTGCCATTCATGTGGCTTTTACTTAAACATTCCTGGATAAGGGGGTTAAGGCTCAGAAATTTTCCAGTTGCCCTGCCCCTGCTGGAAGCATATTCCTTCTCACTGCTGGATATTTTCTGATATCCCTCCCCCTGCTGAAGGAGATTCAATATTCTGTTTAATATTATTATTACATTATTCTGTTCAAGTGGGGTTTTCTTCTGGTAACTGAAATGTTGTTAATAATATAAAGTTATGCTTCAGAGCAGAAAATCATGAAAACAGGAGAGCAGAATATGACAGTACCTTTAACAATTACTGATAGCACATTTTTGTCAATCTCTACTCTCTCTTTTGGCTTTGAAAACATGAGATGTTTGTTAGCCTTATACAGCACTGCCTTTCTCTGCCTCCAGGTGAGATGGCCCAGCTTCTGTTGCTTCTTCTCATACTCGGTCCTGTGTTCCTTTTGCTTTGCTTCAATAATTTCCAAATCTTTTTTCATCTTCTCCTGCTGTTCAACATAGTTTCTCCAGGCCACAACTTCGTGGGCCCTTTGCTGAAAGAGATAGCAATGTTATCTTTAAAAACAGCTCTGGAAAACTCCACAATAATCAAGTTTCAATCTTTCGTATTTTTTCTACAGATTTATTACTTTTCTTTCACATTTAGCAATAGATTTTGTCACAGGAATGCTGAAAACTAGCACAAGTTTCTTCCTTGTGCTACAGCAGCATAATTCAAGTCTTATTTTACAGATATCTCTGATATTATTCATTCTTTCAAATGGTATCTGTTTAGTTCTCCAAACACATATTTCAAGGTAAATGTCACACATACTCTTTTGCCAGAACCTAATTATCTCTCATTCCAGAATTAAAAACACTGACACCAGTAAGTACCAGATTATTTCCCATGTAAAGTCATAGTGAGGTCGTGTAAAAAAATAAAACTCCATCGCCTATTAAATGTAGCTCA